TGCACTTGCAAAATATTGAATATATACGTTTTTGTGCGTTAACCTTCAGATACGTCGGCCCACTTGCATTAGTTCGCAACGCTCGAGTTGCCGCGAGGACGCGGGAGTTTCGCTTGTCTGAGCGATATGCCGCACTTACACCTTTCTGATTACGGGCTGGGTAATACGCGTAGCAGCCGGTAAATGCACCTCATTATGCACTTACACCATTGACTTGCAGAAGACAGGTAGCTGATCGCTCTACAATATTCTACGTCTTTACATAGACAGCAAAATATGTTATTATTGTCAAATAAAGTATATTTATTAATACTGCATAACATACACTACTTCTTAGATAAGACCTAAGTAGGTATTATTCATATCATTATCTAGAAAAACTGGAAAGTTACTTAATTTAATATTATTTTCTAACTACTTATTTATTACTTCATTAAACCTTTACTGTGCCTTTACATTGAACAAAGTAAATGTGTAGGCTGAATATGAAAATATTTTTGCTATTTACTATTTAACCATTTCGAAAAGTAATTAAGTTTGGGTCTGAAGTTCATTACGAAATCTATTTAAAATATTATTTTAATAACAGAGCATGCATGATAGCTACGGTACACTCACCACGCCATACCATCACCGGGTCCAGCTCAACGGAGTCCCTGCCGCGGGAGCTCGGGTGTAAGAACATGCTTATCCCGAATCCAGGTCCGACATATTGGGTCACAAACACTGAAGGCACTAACACTCGCTACACTACTTCGTAGCCACCCACAAATTATCAGCTAAAAAGTTTTTAAATCGAACTTACTGTTTTATGCCAGTGCAAAAAAGAAACAAAACAAAAAAAAAAAATAGGAGGGGAGCGCGAATATTTAAAAATAGAATTTAGAAACAACAGATAATAAAGAATAGAACAATAGAAATGATGTGCACATGAGCTGTATGCCCTATGACTGGCCAGTGAGGTCGGCGCTCGCTTGGAGGTGAGGGAGTGCATGGTAGGGGAGGATTGATCAACTACTCTAAGATCGACCTTCAATCGTACTTTTACAGTTTTTGTTGTCTTATTATAACTAAACCTGAAAATATTTGTTAAAATTGTTCATTTAAATAAACTTTGAACGTTATGAAACGTCAAAGACAATCACAGGAAATACTTCGAAGTTTTTGAATTTTACAAACAGTCGAAAACATTTTTAAATGTTTAACCTTGGCATTTCTTTTGTAAATTTTAATAAACAAGAGAGGCTGACAATGATAATACTATAAAGTTTTATACAGTTACTTGTAAATCACCAGAAATTCGTAAAATGCATGTTAACGGATTGCAAATTTGCAATCAACTATACTTACCTATTTCAATCATTCAAATGGATTCCTTTGTAATTGTTTCGTAATTACGTATCAGGTAAATTTATTGTAATTATGGTTAGAAATACATACATTATTGATAGATTATTTAATTAATACACGGCTGCATGTTTAAAAATTGATATTAGCTATCTACTTGTATTTTTCAATATCTATGCTCTAGAGAACATACGAGTACATAATAAAGTGCCACCTTTGTCATAATAGGTATTAGTTGATATCCTTCGGACAAAATATCGTCTGTATTTTTCCTTTGCACATGTGGATGCACGTTTTCACGAAAATTCGAGAAACAGTTGACCCGTGTGACTTCCAACGGTCTAAGGTCTATTACGCCAAACAACTTGGAGAATATTATTAGCTTCATTTTTCTTCGTGTAGGTACCTATTATCATCTGTAGACAAATCTGGAGGCGTAAGAAAATTCAGAAAAAATGATAGAATTTCGAAATAATTCGCTGGGTTTTCTCTCGATATTGAATTATTGTGCCTAAATGTGTCTTTTGTTTTGTGGAGGTATTTCTTTCTTTTCTTTTAGTGAAAATAAAGTGTTTATCTATCTATCTATCTATCTAGTACCTACATAATTGGTTAGGGTATCGAAATTTTGAAGATGCCCGATTGTGGTCCAAGGTGGAGACGAGGCCTCCGAACGTCTGAAAGAGAGCGGAAAAACTACGCCAAGGTCGCCACAGTGTTGCGCCACACACCCAGCCGAGTGGAAAGCGTGTGGCGTGTGTGCGACGCGCACAAAAACTAGAGGAACATGTTTTCGAGACTATTTTTACGCTCAAACGCCGAGGTTAGCCATGATAGTCCTAGCGCTTTGTATCAATGGAATAGGTGCAATTAAAGAAGATTTAGCGATGCATTTGAACAGTAGGCGTTAAAAGATCTTTTGAAACAGTGTATGGATCCATTATGTAGGAGGTTTGGGTACATTACTTGGTAATAAACAAGTAAATAAGAGTGATCTTCACAGAATTAATGGCTGAATAAATAGACTACTATAAAAATACTAGTAGAACCAGTAATTCATGACAGAAATGAAATTTAATTGATCCACGATTCATTCTCCACGTGGAACCTGTATTTCATCGACGTCTAGTCTATTAATAACTAATTATAAAGTCCCTAATTAATATATTAAAGTCCCCATGTAAATCAGTGCTCTTTCCATAATTAGGGTAATGCAACACGACTTCAGCGAAAGCTGGTTCTGATGAACAGGTTACGATCGTCAGATGTGTTTAATTTATACGAGCATCGCCAACTATAAATCGAGCCGGTGAGTTGATATACGCTAACACGATCGAGGTGTAAATTGCTTGTATAAATGTTTGGGGCTCGCGACCACCCGTGTTAACGACGCCCGAGAGGACTCCTTGTCTCCTTCAGTAATTTATTATTTATTTTCAGTAGCCGAGCCGGCCGCGGCCAGTCAAAACATCCAGCGGTGATGATTTACAACGCAATAAAAAGCACCGTTTTATATCAAATGGAAATGAGCTTTTACCAGAGATTGCGCAGCCACCCCCGATTGTAAAATTTGATTAATTATATTCTACGCCTAGCATTCCTAGATTTACAATAGACGGCTTCCTGGTGATTGTGGGGTGTGATAATTATAATTGCGTTTAGATATTCAGCTGGCTCGTTCATAAATCAATGGATCTTTAAGCTTGTTTACAACTATCGTAAATAGCTTGCTGAATACAGCAGCCGGACGCTTAACGATATTATTTATAGAGCTTTTGTACGCCCTTTCTCTCTTGAAGCCATTATTAATTAAGTATTAGTTTATCTCCTAGAATGTCTCGGCATTGTATGCTAAGGCGTAACAGATAACAACTAGATGTGCATTTTACGACGTAGCTTATTAGTAGAACAAGCGAGTAGGGGCAACTGGCTCATAATTGTCGGGTTATCGTGAATAGTAGTTAATGAGGCTGATTTTACCGCTCCACGATAAGCCGCCGATTCTACTTATCTTTATAGGTTGATACCGATACTACACTAAAGCTTGGATCGGTGTGAAACTTACAAAAACTCAGAAAAATAGTCGAGATAGTAGGAAATTGATAAAAGTTTCATTTCATTAGCATGCCGTCTACTGTGGGACTTGGTGCGTTGGAATCTGATGGATTTCGCGGTGGCTTAATAACGATAAAATTATTATCAGCTCATAAAAATTTACATTTGATATATCTTTAAATTTGTAGGTCCATGAAATGATACTCAAGACTCGATTGAAACTCACACCAGTTATGTAAAATTCAGGAGCTTAGGTAAGATGTAAATTGATAACGTATTTTACTTGGTTATTGGGGTATTGTTACCTACTTCAAAATTACCTTGCGTTTTCACCACATTTGTATGTTTTTAAGCTAACTTGAAATTAACATTACATTTATTTAACGTGAACTTAGCAACAATACAAATAAGATGTTTTTAACAAAAAAATATTTTGAATGACGGGGATACAAGTGGTTAATTTTATAGACTTACGTATTTCCGTCTTCTAACATATCCGTCCGCGTATTTTCCTAAAATATTGTATTTATTTTTAAACTATGCAAGACTGTCTGCTCACAAGTTGCCATAACAAAATATTTAAAGGCATATTTTTATCACGGTTGTTTTTTCTTAACCTGGTGCATATATTTGCATTTGGAAAATCCTTTACAGCGGATGCCAACGTCATAACTAGGTATCTGCGTGTCAAACTTCAGCGTTGATAGTTTAGGTGTGTAACGGGTAACGGTTTCCTTTTAGTACAAATCACTACATATTCCTCTGTTGCGTCTGTTTGTTCGCGATAATCTCAAAAACTAATGAACAGATTTTCATCCGGTTTTCACTAATAGAGTCATCCATGAGAAAGGTTTAGGTAAGTTTAGTTAGGTAATGGAATTTGTCAAGAAGTAAAACACAGGATATTTTTTATCCCTAGTTTTTAAAAGGGGAATGCGCGCGTTAATGTCCCTTTGTGACACACCGATAGATATTCTTGCGGACGAAGAGCGCGAGAAAAATTGTACCTGTACCTGCTTAGTTTTAGTTATTATTTTATTTTGTGAGGATGTACCTGCATAATTATGTATTTTCAAATATTTAAAGAGAGAGAAGACAAGGTAATACATAGATAGACAATCAAAAAATACAGTGCAGCTTATCTCACCAGCGCAGCTAGTGTGTGTTAAATAAATAGGCTAGCCAAGCCCGCCGACAGCTTGATGTCAGCAGATTTATTTCAAAAGAATGTCGACGACTTGTACTTTCTATGACTTTTGACAACGATATGGCCCGGTTGCCACAAGGCGGAGAGGAACGGAGAAGTGTTTCAAATAACCAATCAGATTTCATTATTCAGGAAACCTGGAACTCTGCTCCGCCTTGGTGGAAACCGGGGTGGTAGGGTTTGTAGACTGCATTTTTTAAAGCAATATTAATAATTGTATTGCACAGTTCCTAATAGTCCCGTTAGCCTACTACTAAGCTAAATATGCTTGTGTCACGAGTCGGCTCACCACAATAGTCGCGTTCCCCGGATCACGAGTCGGCAAGTCCGACCCTTATTTAGCACCAATACATTTTTTTTTATTTCAAAAAGCTAGTTGTAGGTAACTCACCAGTATTGTTGTTGTTGTTGTAGTGGTGGGCGGGCGGCGGGATGTAGTCCGGCAGCTCGGGCAGGCACACGTTGCTCTCGTACATGTTGGGCGGCACGTTCGCGAGCAGGGACCGCTCCTTCTCCACGTCTGTTTGGGAAATTGTGGGTTTAGGAAAGATGCACGTATTTTATTATTTCACACTACATGGCAAAACCTCTAAAATATAGTTACCCAGTTAGGGTTGAACCCACGACCTTCCGCTTGCCGGGCGACTGCTCTTTCAACTGAGCTACTTAGACACTGGATTAACCCGTAGAAATTTTCTAGTGTAATACGTTGTTACGGGTTCAATTCCCGCCTTAGGCAGTTCGATTTTTTTAAGTTATTTAATTTTCAAATTAGTTTGAGATGCGACTCTTAACGCTAAAAATTAAATAACTATATTTTAGAGGTTTTGGTTTAAGATTGGAGTCTTCTACAAGAAAGAAGGATCTTCTTCATTTACTTGTATGCTGGTGTATCACAACAGTACACAAATACTTTTTAGAAAATAGGTACGGTGAACCAAAAAAGGACGTGATAGGGTAAAAAGACAGACTTGGGTTTTCGTACCGTTTTTTTTTACATTACCTCTCTCTGTCCTCAACCTCATCTAAAGGATGCTTTATACTTGATAGTCTACCTTTCTGCAGTATCTCCAGGTGCTCCCACAGTATGTCGCCTATGAAGGAGGCCCATTGCGCCGATGTCTTTGCTAACTAAACTACAGCGAAACTCACTACCGCTTTGCTCTACTAATGTGTGTAATACTCCTTACCTTTCTGCAGTATCTCCAGGTGCTCCCACAGGATATCTCCCATGAAGGCGGGCGCGCGGGCCACGAACTCCTCGCGGCCCATCGCGCAGATGTCCTTGCCCTGCGCGCGCGCAAACTGCTGCAGCGCGACGCCCTCTAGCGAGAACTCGCGCGCCGCCCAGCGTAGCCAGGCCGCCACCGCTGCCTCGCTCCATTGTCTGGGATCTAGACAAAGAAAGAAAATGGTTGCTTATTTGGTTCGTGTCAACCAAAGGATGTCTGTCAACTGCAGGACAAGGGGAATGGTAGAATTAAACTTCGTACTAATAAGACATCAATCAATGGAGAAATCGATCAATAGTAAAAGATGAAAAGTGATAAACCCCTGGACTTTCAATTTTACGGAACATGTTGAAAATTGAGTTAAGAAATAAAAAGTAAGCACTTTTAATTTCTACGATTGTACTCTAAAAGCGGTTGTTCTTTGAATTCTTTATTTTATTTTATTTTTCAGTATTTAGTTCAGGAAAATATCAGCTAAAAAATTTAATTTATAAAAATATAGACGTTTGTTGTGGATTAGTATTTGATTTATTTATTTAATCAGCGGCTACTTTTTGCAGCGAGCTTATATTGACTCAATCACGATATCGTTCGTGATGTAATGTTTTCACAATAAATTAGAATTCAATAACACTTTGGTCGGCGATAATTTGTACTGAAATTTTTACTGTCCAAACAAAATTAATGATTCTTTTTTGTTACAACAGAGACGGCCGTTAATATTTTTTATACAATCTGTTATAATTAGTATAAATAACTAACATAGGCATAATTCAATTATCAAATATTTATTAGTGTATTTTCAGTTAGGAAAAACCACAACTGTAACAATCAGTGTCAGTTATGTAATCGTACTTTTCAGCAAAAAAAAAGTTTGCTATTCATAACTGAACTTTCTATACATGTAGAACAGCTGCTGCTGCCTTGCTGTCACCATTGATTCCAAAGTAAAAGTTAATCTCAAGAGAGCAATCTTCCTGAAAAAACGACTACATACTTCATAATTTTCAGGACAAAACTCTGGAGGTGTTAGAAAATAATATTATTAGACCATAGACCTAACTCTAGCTCACTCACTAAACTCAACTGAGGCATTCTTGACTCATTCATTCATAGATTTCATCCAGGACGGATCTGCAACTAGTATTTTTTAGCTCTTAAGAGGTGTTGCACTTCCACGAAGCTTTTATCCGGCTGGCAGCCATAATAACATGCAGTGCGTGCACAACTCATAATTAGTCGTCTATCGCGTCATAAATGCACAATTGTGGCCGGACGCAGCAGCGGGCAGCGAACCGCGTTGCCTAACAGCGGAACTTGCCTCACGCGGGAAGCGCGCCGACCTTGCGCCTGCGCCGATCGTGGCTAACACTCCTAAATTTGGGAGTCGGGACTTCATAGGGTGTGGAGAGAAAAGCTTTGGCTATTTATTTGTGTCTTATTAGAATACATATTTTGTCAAAGTTTCGGAAGTAGTTAAAGATTTACATTCTCTGTGTGATCAGTTTTTTTGCACTTGCCTCACGTGATAAGCGCGCCTGCGATCGTGGTGCCAACATTTCTAAATTTGGGAGTCCGGACTTCAGTTTTACGAGGTTGTCAAAGTTTCGTAAGTAGTTAAGGATTTATTCTTTCTGATAGGTGATCAGTGTTTTTTTTTAGCTCAGAAAAAGAATTATATGAACATGAAAAGCCGCACATTGCAACATGGCAGCAATATGGCATTGTAGATTGAAAGGAGAGATGATATTATGTTCGGTCGGTTTTCATTTTAGGGAAAATTCCATCGAGAGTGAATTAGCTGTTAAAAAAATTTAAGAAACCTTTATTTACCCTGTTATGTATGAATAGAGATAGATTTAGAAGTGGCCTGATAAAGCGTACTTACTTGGAAATTAAAATTTTGTGCCGTAGGTTAATAATATACCTACATCATGATTTACCGAGATTCTAATAAGGCAATTTAAAAGTACCTAGAGCTTGTACGTGGAAAAAGCTCAGCAGCCATAAATGCGCATTGAAAATAAAAACATTACGCGATTGCTTATTAAAATGCAATTAGTACGTGACTAACGACGTTTCTTGCAAAATGGTATAATAATTAATGAAAAAACTAGAACATTCATCTAACAGCATCTGCTCGATAAGGTCATTACGGAGGTAGCGAGGGGAAATCTAAGGCTCGTCCAATTTAGATGTTTGAGACGCATCGCATCGGTCCACGAGAGAGCGGGTGAAAAAGCAAATCAATACAAACGAAGTTATGCACCGCAACGCTACAAATTGCGGCTAGGCACCGGAATTTAACTTTTTCCCGAGAGCCGGCGCGGGGCGAGAGCTGGCTAATAATAAGTAATTAGTTTAATTACAGCTTTTAGTCGGTGGCCGCCTTCGGGACACGCCGTTTAATGTTTATGCTGTAATATGGACCTCGCTGCGAAGCTTCGTACTGTGTCCATTTGTACGGGAGCTGTCGCGTTTTATTAAACATCAGGCAGTATTAAGGGTCTCCGTCAGGATAATGAAGATTGAAGCCAAGATATTTTAGCAAATAATTTCAAGAGATTTTACAATATCAAAATCAACTCTTTGATTGGATTGCACAGCTGTAATTTATATGAAATCCAATGGTAATGTATCTATTACAATTTCAAACTCGACATCGGGCTTCAATGAATACCAAATGCGCATTACTGCTGCGCTCGCGATTGCAAATACGAAGCACCACTGGTATTGCAGTGCGCCTCAAATGGATAGATGTATTAAACTAATTCGTATTATCATCGACGTCGGAGTACTTGTTAGTTAATTAAGTGATTAACATAAAGCAATTATGTAAACATTCGAGGATTATCAGATGAAGATATCGTGTCGAATCGGATCGGATGGAGGATACGCGCGGTAACGGTAGCGGACTGAGCGCTCCTGAGTTACTGGCGGGTTATTATTTTTAATAATTAATTATCCACCACTACCTATTATTACCCAGGCATTGCCCCGGGACCGTTCCTCACCTACTGTGTCCAGTTATTAATATTGAGCAGTCACGCATCTCCGTAGCTCAACGTGGAGATTAATGTAAACATTTTAATTTCACTTGAATGATTAGAGCCATTACAGAATAATTATTGTGGTCTCTTGGGATACGATAATTTGTACGCGATTAGAATATGAAGAATATGATTATATCTTAGGTAACTGTAATATCAACGCGGGTCTATTTGACGTGAGAGTAAGAAACTACTAGATAATTAATTTGTCTCACGATAAGTACCAGTTAAACTCGTAATCCTGACTAAATCAAATTGTTTTAAATGATTTTCGGTATGGTTTTATTCTGTCTGAAAAATGTTAACCAGAGTTGAAAGAATCTTTACGAGTTGATCATTGATTGGCATTGCTCCCACCCTCTCGTCTCACAAGCGCTGCAGCCCATATAACACTGTTAAACAAAGCAGACCGAGTCCGTATGGTAATGGGCCGATTTTATTAACAGCCGATCGTCAGATAACGTGGTTAGGGTTGCCAGGTCCAAAAACACAAAAGCCGGACTCGGTGCTTAATTTGGTCGGACATTTTACCCTAAAACAGCTAACTGCTAAGCTAAGCAGCTTTTTAACAGCTAATCATAATTTTTTAAAAGCCTAAATGTTCTAAATGTTCAACAATATTTCCTAATAAAATAATCGCGTCATGGCTTTACTTTCTACTAGTGCGGCAGCCACATAAAATGCCTAACAAAAGACGGACACGGAGTACGGACGAGAAAATAATTATTTGGCCGGACATGTTCGAAAAAGACTGTCCGACTAAAGCCGGACACCTGGCAACCCTAAACGCGGTCGTCTCCGCGGTCCGCAGACATCATTGTGTACCGTCATTTTATGTTCATCCAGATCTCAGCGACAGATAGCAGCCACTGTTCACGTGTGTACACACTCGTAGATTGCCTCTATGTAAATTGTTTGTTTTATGTTTTCTCATTACCAGCCACCGGCTCCACAAAAGCTCTTCTCATGCCAATTACTGCGTTATCTCTAAATACGCTTATAGATTTTTTTTATACACAACGCTCTTGGCTTGTATCTCACCTGATGGTAAGTGATGAACAGCCTTAAGGTGGAAGCGAGCTTCATACGGAATCCTCAACCACAGAGGAACTGGCTATCTTACCTCAAACTTAAATATTAAATACGAAAGAGAAGTGTTTAATTTTAGTGTTGTTCGTAACATGTCTTCAAGTATTAGTCACTGTAAGAACATTCGTACGCCGTTATCGCTTTTGCATTATTTAGTTTATGCAATGTGACGTTTTTTATCGGATCTTTTTACCTTACTTTAATTAGACGTTGTTGGTATTTCTTCAGATAATATTATTGAAAGCAGGTTGTCCTTATCAATATGAGCTCATGCATTTTTGTGTTTTTTTTAATGCAGTTTAGCCAGTTCGAAATGTATTCGTCTATAAGTATAAATATTATGCGTGTTTGATTATGAACTCCTCTTATACATAACCGTTTTTTATTTCATTTAACAGCTTTTTATAAGCTACTGTTTAGATTATAGTAGGTATTTAAGGATATTACATCACACAAAATACCCAGTAAACAAGATAAACGACTTTAAAAAGGCTTACGAATGCTCAACGAGGCTTGTGGCAATTATTTCATCAAGCAAACTTATGAAAACACCAATTTCACATGATCAAAGCGTTAATGAGCTGAGCGGCTGCATTTAAATGGCCGACTTAAGCCGTTGTTTGTTGACCGGTTTCATCGATTACCCTTTATTGCTTTGTTTATTGTGAACAATTAAAACGAATCGTCTCTCGATTTGACAACCTCAATCGTTAATTAATGTCGAATTAAAATCAGTAATGATTATGTAGAGGTTGTCAGTCAATTAGCTAATTTTAGAAGAAACTTTATCAACGTGAGACCGTCATTCATTAAAAATTATAATGCAAGGTTTACAATTGATCTTTTATACATTGAATGAAGTTGTTAATACATGTTGCATTCAAAATTACGAGTAGAATTATGAACTTGTTTTTTTTTTCATAAAACACAGAACTATGTCACATACTATTTCGAAAATTGTCATGGAGCGCAATGTAGTACAGTCGACAGCACATGAGACTACATTTTGTTGCAAAATAGTACCTATATCAACTACATAAAAGCCAGTGTAACTTGATGTACTTGTCTGTACTACCAAACGCAGGGCATGCGCGAGCGCAGCGGAAAGCGCGAATAGACGAGGCGCAGACGCACGCACTTCCGGCCCGGGGCGACGACCCGCCACCTGTGCACCTAGCGACATCTATTACTCATTTTCGGCAATAGTATGCATCTAAACATAAGATCAGTACACAAAATAGGGCTTTTCCGCATCGACGATTAATTAAAGGAGCTGCTATTAATTATGCTCCGTCAAAACTAGATCTCTATACTTATTTTAGTGAGTCTTAAGTTTAGTTTAGGAAAATCTTACAAAACTAAATTGATTCCAAAATATTTATTTATATGGGGATTCGATGTCAACTTGCGGTTCTAAAAAACTAAATGTACCTACAAATTAAATTAGCTAACATTGTAAATATGACATTTCCAAAGTCATGTTTTGTATGCAAGTGCATTCGTATATGTTGTTGTTAAACAATGAGCTCTCTCAGTTTTTTTGCTACAATGTGACTTTTCTCTGTAGATATTAATACTGAAATCTAGAAAGTGTGTCTATTTAAACTCTACATTGGCTAGAAAATTATTGGGACCCATTGGGCTCAATGAGGTAAAATTGTAGTATTTTTTGAAATTATGTACTTCAAAATTATGGAGGTGCTTTTAATTGCATTGACTTTTCTTCCATTAATTTTATTGCGATTAAATACAAGACTTAAGACATAGTAACCCCAAGAGACGCGGCCCCATACACGGACCTTTTTGAAGTTTAACTATATGATGGCTGAAAACTATTGTTTCTCTAATATTCGTACGTATACGTAAACCTGTCTATGTGTGGATACCTCTAATTCCACCTAATACTAAGCGTTGATATTTTATTATTACTGAAGCTTTTTACTGAAGTTCTAGAAAATGACTTAGCGAATTTTATACGAAGTTGCGGATACAGTTAGTATCAAGTCTTGTCTTAAGATGAGTCTTGGACTCTGACCTCAAGTTGACACGTTTTCTCGAATGTTTATTTATTTATTTATTTAAACTTTTATGCCAAAATAAATTTGAACATAAGGCGAACTTAATGCACTAAAGCATTCTCGACCAGTTTACCTTTGGGTTGAGCAGAAAAGAAATTTGTTTAAATGTTCAACTAAACATCTATCTAAATTCGTATGTCGACAACAACAACTTTAGGTGGCATTGACAGTAGTGTTATGAGCATGCAAAGAAAATATATTAACAATAACACATGTTCTTTACACAAAGGTTAAAAAATAAAAGCTATTTCATGTCTTCAGTTTTAGGTAAAACTATAAATCAAGTTTGAAAAAAAAACCTTCATTTCAAATAACTTATTATTATTATGTTGATACATCAATGACTTCCTTTAACATCTTGCAATAAGTACTGATATAATAATAATAGTCCTATGGCTAAAATGATGATGATGATGATGATGAATAAGTGTTGATATGTTTCGACAATTTTAACCAGTAAATAATCTCCTATGTTTTTTAAGTTGGTTCAAAATATGTAGAGCTCATTACGAGGTAGTTTGTAATATTTATTTTATCAATGAGCGAAAAACAATAACCGAAGAACGGAATTTCCTGATTTGTAATTTTAATACCATTCATTGTTTACTTTATACATACCAAGTTGGAAATCCTATAAGATGTCGTATATTTTTGTGTTTATGTTAAACAACCCCCTACTACCCCCCTAGGGTTGGTTTGTTTACCCAGATTTGTTGCAACAGAATTGTAGTTGTTGTATGTAACCCTGTATTTCGCCACCAACAAAGGCGAAGTGCGGGCGACACGCAGCGACGCGCGACGAAGCGGCGACGCTCGTCTCATTACCATATGCTAATCCCTGCGAACGATACGACCGAGCCACTAACAGTTTTTGCTTGTAACCCACTTGCTGGGAAGGGCTTGTGATGCTTTGGGAGAAATAAGCCAACGGAGAGCATTCCTGTCAACTGCAAGTAGGTAATACATACGGTAGTATTTAGAGGATACCTACTAGGTATCCTCTAAATACTGTTTGGTCTGTATCATGAATCGATACTCAATTCGTAAATAATCTGGAAGGTTCTCTAATATTTTGTATATTAAAGAAAAATTGTCTTACCAATTAATCCTGTAAGATTTTTTTCATATTTTCAGAATAAAAGCAAAGTTAATGCAAAAAATCTGCGTGTACGTATTGTATATAATTTCCTTTTGTCTTGTCCTTAATACAGTACTTACTTATATCAATGTGAACTGTAAAATTGTAACAATCTAATCAACCGCATGACAAACAACATAATGCCGACCGCTGAGGGCAATCAAACAATCTCGGACCACGATCCTGACGCGGGGCTCGATCGATGACCGAACATGTTGAACGAATTAATTTATTTCAATCGCCCAGCGGATGTTACACATTTTAGACCACCGATACTTTGATTCGAACGCAATTTCAATTCTATTGCCATTTATTGGATAATACTTGTTTAGATGGTCGTAACAATACAGATATGCCTTTGAGTTAAGGGTATATGAATTCTTAGAAGACGTAAGAGACTGTTTTATTTCGAGATTAAATCGCGCGAACCAACTTATATGAAGATATTGAAAAGATTGAAAGTCACTTACTTTTTAAAACTAAACAACACCGAAACTTTTGTACTGGAAATGAAAGCTCGAAAAAAATTATAAATAATCCCGAATCATTCTCTGCAAACTCTTAGATGTTTCCGATTGATGTCTGAAATTTCAGGTTTTATTGCGTTTTCTTCCTGGCAATAAAAAACATTGAATGGAATCATTCATGTGAACTGGGCACAGTAATGTAAGTGTATGTATAATGTAGTAGTTCAGACGTAGAAATTACCAAGTGTCAATGTGTGAATCAACTGTGTGTTTAACTGGTTGTTAAGCTGTAATTTATCTAAGTTGTTTATATTTTCTTTCATTATTTGAATTTCTTGTTAGTAATGTGGTATGCAATTTAATACGAGAAGTATAAGTAATTTTTGCATCACCTACTATCTCATAGATCGAAGAGCTCAATTTCATCCTGTCATCTTAAAATTTAATAGCCCAGTGCATTTTAAAAGTAACGAAAATTCATAGTCTTCGCCTATGGAAACTAGCAATTTTCGAAATAATAAAGCTGAATAGGTTACAGAGATAGTTCAATGTCTAAATCGTTTTGTATGTACTAAACTGCCAGTGCTTGGATGCGAGCGGCGCAGCACCGGCCTTTGTGGAAATCTTTGGGGGAGGCCTTTGTCCAGCCGTGGACGTCTTTCGGCTGAAACGAACGAACGAACGAACGAAACTGCCAGTATCTATTAGGATGAATTTAAGTTATTTTGTAAAACTTCTTACCTTTGGGCACGCCGAGGCGCAGTTGCTCCTTCTCCCAGGAGGCGAAGGTAGCCTTTAGCGCCTCGGCCATCTTTTTGTTGGTGCCGGGCGTGAGCGGTGGCACCTGCGACGGGATGTCTGCAACAATAAAAACGCAGGTTATTAAATATTTCTAGGGAGGTTTTAGTGTTACGTAGGAGCAACAGAGAACTAAAGAGAGGGGTGTGTAAAGGATTTTATAATTGAAAGAGAGAACTCAATGTGGACTGACCAGAGAGGGCAATACGTACTACGCCACTTCTAGTTGTCCTGATAGCAGGGCAATGAATTTAATCAGACTAACTTCTGAAATAAATTGTTATCCGTTAAAAATGTAGTATTCTTATTGAAAGGACCTTTACTTATCATTCTTACAAAGTTGCATATTTTTTTCAGAGTTAAACTTTCGAATTGTTTCACCTTTTGGTTTAATATCGTGAAATGCTAATGAGTACAGGATTGAGCTCGTTATTAGCGGCGACCTTTCTTTATCGCGGTGCGTAGGCTTTATGCGTATACACGTAGCGGCGCAGTAGTAACGAGTCGCATTCGATTGCATGCATGCATAACGCTAACTCCAGGTGCTTGTCTTACCACTTCAAGTTAACACAACCAGCTTCTTCAACACAAAATATCTACACGGTCATGTCATTAAACATTAAAATCAACCCGAGCTTTGTTATAATGCCATAACTACGCTACGGAAACCAGTGGACGCTCTTTTGATGTGACAGCACCACAATTTGTAGTTCGAAAGCTTTTAACTCAGTTGCTTATTACCGAAACGGTTGTACTTACTCATCCGAGATCATTATCAGCGAAATTAATTACTTTATCTACGCTATTTATACCGAGTACCGACGAACAAATTAATAGCGGACTTTTTGAGTCTCGATGGCTTCGAATAAAATAAATCAGAGATAAACAAGCAAGCGGGATCAAGTGTTGCGGGTGTGGGTGTGCGTGGTACGTAGGCTTCATTCATAAGTGGACATGTTACAGTGTGCGTGGTGCGGGCTAGTGTGCGCGCGCGCACCTGCCGACCAGTTTCGAGATGCGGAGATTTGTGCACCTCTCCCACGGTCGCTGCCCGGCTCCGCTCTAGCTCAAGCCTCGTTCTGATATAATTTAAAATTTTCACTCTGTTTCTAGATTACCGTTTTCAAATAGCATCTAAGATTGCGATACTGGACTAGATACTACTTTGTACGCACCTTGTTTCTATCTAATTAAGTTACCTAAGCGCCTTTGAAGCTAGGGGTCCGTTTCTAAGTAGAGCCTTTGTGAAGCTTTCGTGTAGTTAACAATATTAATTATTTTAATAGCAACTCAAATATTCGAATAAGCAGGCAGTAATTTTCTAAATTGATTACAGTTATTTGAACTATACCCGACAGTCGACTACCTACTTTTCTAATGCAAAACAAATAGTTTGGGACTGTTAGCTGTCCTAACTGGATGGTTGGTCAAAATAGCCTCGAAAAAGTATCATAAGTAAAAATAATTATGATGAAATTGTGGTTTTCAGCAGTTTCGTAGATTCCGCTCCAACCCACTAGGTAGAGTCTTTTTAATTGTCTCTAGTTAGTAGATATTTTGCGAAATATCGTTGTATATTTCGTAAATGAATACCGGTTTTCACACAAATTAACTTGTTTTGACGATTTGTTTAAAGCTTACATTATGAGGTACAGACAGTGCTACGACAGCATAAATTCTCTTGACACTATCTTTTGGGTCAATCTTTAACTTAACATGTCGTTGCCTTTGAAAAACAATTTAGGTAGTAGTGGTTGAAGCTTTGCCCCGTAGTTAGGCGACATACGTTTTCTTCATGAACTGTGGGCTCTATGGATAAATTTAAGTAAGCATTTTGGTTTTTTAGAGGGTGTATTTTTATATTCGTTGCCTGGTTATTATCTAGGTTTGCTTGAGTCTAGACGCAGCTGCTTTAAATGTCCAAAGATATAATTGTACAGTTCCGAGTGATCTGTAATTCTTGCCTCAACCTGTATAGCTGCTCTGACTGATATTTTTGCCAGCCTGTATAGCTCCGCGGCTGTCGAGCCAGCATCCGACGCAGAATGTCCCGCGGCCACGGCCGGCAGTTGCGGATCACACGCACATTAATTGCAGGACTCCAGTGCATTGTGATTTACCCGAGCTATATATCTCGCGCAGCTGCACTTGACTCACGGTTATTGCATACAAACCATATGTGTTGCAACGTAATGCGATTGGAACGACCCATCGATAAACATATTGTTTTTATGTTATTAACATTTGAAAATGGACTCTCTATTGGTTTATTACATTGAGGCTACGCTAGTGATTAAACAAAGTAGGCTTAAAAAGCAAATATTGGGTATTTTCAACAGATTGTTTACCCAGTGTTCCAAATGACTTATCCTTGGTCTATTGTATTGTACCCAAATCATCTCTTTTGTTTTTTGAGCATGTTGTCACATAAGTTGTCACGTCATTGTGGTAACTTTAAGTTCGAGGTGTTGACAGTGCACAGCGGCGCCAAACATTTTTTTCTACTACGCAAAAACTGTTTTGAATTTTAAACGTTGTCGTAATGACTTTGAAAATATAAGCGTATAACCTTTCGCCACACAACATACCTAATAAGCCTATTGCTTATAAGCAATAGGATGAGAATAAATAGATGTTTTTCTTGCTAGCTACAATTCACGTGTTATGTAGGCATTTGCAAGTGTCAAACTTAAACTAGGTACCTGTCTGGGGGATCAGATTTAAAGGCATTTTTTCGTGTTTTTATTGGTACCATTATGCGAATCCTTATCCGTTTATGCATTGTGAGATAATCGCATATATATCACGCGAAATGACTATCCACACACCTGCAGGATGGACTGAGTCAATACTGTGGCTTTACTGTACTTCACTCGTTCATGTGAATGAAGCTCTACATATTTGAGCGCGATAATATGATAGGAATCTTCGACTGTATAACTCTGCTCTTTTAATTTGATTTATTACAATCGCGATAACAATCAACATATAAATAAAAAGCTTTTTTGAATTGCTGCAAATGTTGTTAACCGACTTCGAAAAGGAGGAGATTATTTATGCCGTTGTATGTATTTTTTAAAGGCGGATTTTTCTGACTATTGCAACCATCAAGCATTGCAATATCAACGGACACCTACTTAATTTAATATTTTAAAGAAAATGTTATGTTTTTATGCATAATAATGTTTTCTGACTAAATTATATCAGTGTTGAAACTTTTAAACAGACATCTGCCGTGGAAATTAATGCATATACATTTTTATTGGCACCCAAAATACAGGTTCATCTAGTTTGGAAGTCGGAGGTCATTACTACGACTGGATCAGAAATTTTTCAAGGACTTCATTAATATGTGCTTTTAAAACTTTCGGTGTAATTATTTATTTTAATAAGTAGCTGTGAAGTCATTAATTAATGAAGATTAGAAGATAGAGTGATGTGCACGTTGAAACTATAATATCTCAAATCTGGTTTCCTGGAGAAACCAAATAACACATAAATACAATAATGGAATATTTGGTATAATTTCACAGCATCTTTAAAAACAATTTGGTATACATTATACTAGATAACGGAATTTAATTGCTTTCCCTATTAAAGTTGACATTAAGCTTTTGGTACACGCGGATTCTTGAGATGAAGCAAAAACTATGGCCGCCAACCGGCAAGACTTCCGTTTCCGTAATTAAAGTAATTAATCCGAAGTGATTTCGTTTAATTATCCTGTGAGCTTTCTGTTGAAATCCACCCGAAGGATACAACGGTCAAAATATGAGCCCGGCTCACGGAATGCAAGTGACTACCTTTTTTGTTCAAACGCAATTTAAAATTACAGTTTAGTTAAGAGTCGACGAGCTTAAGATGCTGAAATGAGACATATATTTGTACGTAATGCTTCGTAATGACGCAATAAATGAATGGTTCGTATTCTTTTGAGCGTCAGTGAGCGCACCATTTTGTGGTTTCGACAGAGATTAATTTCTTTTCGATATCAGTGTTGAGTATGATCGCAAGTCGATGTTTGAGAGTGGTTTGTGGGTTGTAGCGGAGTGTGCCGAATGGTGAATGGTGTAGATAACAGCACAAAAGGCCGGCGATGCGCTCGGGCTGCGCAGCCGAAACACGAGGACGGCCCGCAACCTTCGAGATTTGGGCTAGAGCGGACCGTGACGGAGTCTGCACACCACTACGAATATTTTGATTGTCGTTTGTTTTTGTTTAATATGAGTTGTTTATAGGCCAATAGGGAGGCATACGTCCGTATTCACAAACATTGCTATGAGGTCTCACAGTACGCGTGGACGCACAGGGTGACACACGAACCAACCAGAGAGCTCTATTCAACGCTCTGCGTTCGATTTGCTGTTTCACTTAAGCAAGAATCGTTTGTGAATACGGGCGTTTGTCTCCTTTCTTATCGCTACAAGTTAGTCTACATGATGATTGACACGCAAGTCTAAGATTAAGGCTGAGTTGTACCACCAACTTTGACCGTAACTATAACGGTAACCGGTGTTTTTTGTATGGAATTTGATACATTTTTGACGTTTGTTAAAGTTAAAGTAAGATTTTGTTTCATCCCAGCCTAAGTAAAACTTGTAGCTTTGTAAGTCATCACAGTCTGTCCCACACTACAGAAGAGTGGAAGGAAAAATGCAACAGTGTCTCTTGCATTTTTAAGTAATAAATAAGTCTTAAATGACATAGTTGCAAGACAGATTAATACTCGTTAACTCGTATGTCTTTTGGACTGACATATACCAATTTGTCCAGACTGGTACTCTGGAAGCAGTTTGTCATTCCGTGAGCCATTAAACACCATTTATAGAGCGTCGCCATGGAGGTCACTGCGTACATTGTCCATTAAAATTGATAATGGACCTTCAGTCCGGTACATCGGGTCGCGAAAATTATATTATCATGTACGATTTCGCCGTATAACAAGATAACGCTCAGAATGCTTAATTTAATTTACCTAACACTCACGCTGTGACGTTAGCGTTTTGAGTGAGGAAGATAGAGCGGATTTATTTTGGAGACATTTTGAGAAATAGATTTGGCCGTTTTATTACATACATTTTACGATTTATTTAAATTTTGCCCAGTTTAGTTGTTTGCTTACAGGACAACAAAGCCAGATGCGGTTTCGCGATAAAAGCTCTGCAAGGTTTGGGCTAAGTAATGTAAATGTGGAACGCATTATTTATTTACTTACCGTTAACTGTAAAATGCAACGAATACTTGTAATTATCTAACAACGCATGCCTCTTTATTAGAGAGCTGTAAAGTAAATGCAAAAGGCTTGTAGTTTGTAGTCACCATTATTGTTATTCTTCCACAGCAACGCTCAAGGGCCATAACAGGTGGCCGAAGGGTTATGTGCACTTGTTGCTTCGCAATTTACCAACTGATATGCAAAGTATAGCCTGATACTCCATTGTAAACAGTTTCAAACGTGTCGTAAAAACGGTTAGCATGTTTTCGAAGGAAAATAAAATTGCGTGAGTGCCATAAAATGAGATGGCGTTGATACGAATTCAAAAGAACAAAGGGAAAATTCTTAACTCTATCCTATAGTAAATGTTTCAGGTTAATTTAAATGATAATTACAGAACTTATCTTGATCTAGGTCATGTCATGATGAGAACAGTGTAACATAAAAAGTTCAAATACTTGATTGAAGTAGGTAGATAGTTGGTTATATTGTTCAAAATAGAAGTTTGAAAATACGAGTCCACTGTCTCTACCTAAGGATAAACTCTACTACTCATTAGCATTAGCAGCAGTTTGAAGTATAAAGATGTAGAGGGGCTTTTTCATAGTTTCAAAGTAAAATTTCGTAAAAAAGTGTCAAGTGATTTATCATCGTTGATTGAGCTATCATAAAATAGTTTTCACAATAGTTACTCGTAGCACGCGCTCATTTTGCAGATAGTAGGTTCATTAGTTCGCGGCACAATAGCAACCAGAACAAAAGCTCGCGCCATTTTTACCTCCGCCATTGTTCGCAGTTTGAACTTGGAACGTCGCGTGACGTGAGCGGCGCGTGCGCCTGTTTCGCATTCAAATCATTCTCGTTAATAGCTTGTAATTACTCTAAACGCTGTTACTGAACCCCGTTTTGTAGTGCAAGAGGTAATATTGAAAATTATAACATCTGTCTTGTTGTGCATTGGTTACGGGTTAGATTGCCCGGAAAGAGGGAATTAATTATTTATTAGCAGTCGGTTTGTCCTTTCATAAGCGAAGCCGTAGCATAAAATTATGATAATGCTTTTAAATTCTGCATTTTAAAATAGGATTAGAGTTATTTTTAAAACACAATGATTGTACTTATTTATCGCCTAAAGCTAGTAGTGCGTTTTCAACTGTTGAAAATGATCGTGTGAAAACGAATTACTTAATGAGTATCAAAAATTGACTGTTTGCCTGTCTCCCCCGTAACTCAAGCGTGGCGGAGGGTCCTTTCATAATGCGGTAAATGCAACTTTCAAACGGACCTTGTCCACTCACGCGTAAAATGAGTCAAAAAGAGGGTTTTGCATAATGGTGTATTAAAATTACTTCGATATGGGCAGTTGCAAAAACTTATAGGTTTTCAGGTGCTTCATATCCCTTCCTGTTCGTTTAACAATGTGTAAAACTTTATGATTCAAATCATACAAAATGTTTTAGTGTTGCACGGATGTGTTGTATTGAAATTATTTTTCAACTTCAGCGAGACACATGACTAGAAAACGGATGTTTTCCTTATTTAGTAGGTAGTAGGTAAGACCTAATAATACATACACGTTCTAGCCTATTATGTACTAAAATAACAAATATATTAAGCTAGACAGATTTAAACGCAAATATATTACCTGGGTAGAACTGTTTTTCATAGGTTACCTACCTACGGTACGGTAATTTATGTGTCTTGAGATGTACTAATGTCTTAAACGTCTTTGCTCGTACAATGTAAGTCGTTAAAATCATTTTTCGAAAAACAATGGAACATTTTTAGTTTCGTTTGTTTTTGCTAATCAATCATGCGTTCACGTTTAACCGCATACGTAATATAAGAAAAAACTGAACAATAGTACCTACATGTTTATCTTTCAGCGATCTGTGTTGATCACGACTGTAGGCGAGAGACCTTTGCTCAATGACAGAGGCGGCGCGCATCATCTCATTGAGCGCGCACCGGATGGGCCAATCAGCAGCGTGAATGGACGCCCCCACGCACGTCGCTGCTCGGTGCGTTATTAGCTCCCGTACTAGATGCCACTTCTTTGTTGTGCCCGTAAATTGTTATAACCTTTTACGACTTACGGAATGTGTTGAATCGTAAATCCGATGGTTGTTGTCCCATTGATCGCCATTGTCCGCCATGAGAAAGACCGGCTACTGTCTTGAGACACCAACGAATTCACTCGAGCACTCGTAGGTATTTGATGTTCACATGTTTATTGGTTGGCCGATGATGTTTCATAAAACGGTCAGGCGTTTTATTGGTTAGTTGAAATAACAACTGTGAAATGTTTTTGGTTGCTCAGCGTAAGCAGCATTAAAAGATGGTAGGTACTCTTACTACGTATGTTATTAAAATCAGATCACGAAATAGTAAACTTAGATTTCTAGACTATCTCGCCAATTGTTATGATATAATAATGCTTGTTAACATCCAGTCGCATGTACTCGAGCTGTAAATGAGTTTGTATACAAACATTGTTTTCAGTTCTCAGGTTATGAGCACACACGCCAAGGTCTTCACTTTCAAGATCATCAGAGCATGCGCGAAGAGTAAGTCGTAATTACGGTAATGACTCGCGGGGTTGCACAACGCGCGCCCTGCCATCGCACGCAACGTTTCAAAACAACGCTGAAGGAAACGATGCAACACCGGGGCTATCTTGATTTCTAATTTCTAGGGATCTATCGTCCTGTAATTTATGATTTATTTACACACTGATTAGTATGTACTGTTGCATTCATAATAGTTTTGAGTAATCAGTGTGTATTTATAGCCTACTTGATTAATTAACTTTTAGCTTAATGGCAGTGTTTCACAGGGCAGATACAAGGCAGAATCTACAACATGTAACTTAGCAAAGTGTACTTTGTTATCCGTTTTATTTTTCACAAGATATTATGTATTTGTTTACTCATACATGAAACCTATGAAGAAAAATCTGACCAGAGCGGTTTATTGGTTAAGCGTTAATTCTTTGTAATCATTAATTAGTAACGTTTAATTAAATCTATCTAATTAGCTTTATGATTGCTCACAGCTGTTTTTATCAATTATCTAGAATCGAACAAATATTTACAGCGATACCCAATAATTTCATAAAATGTACGTTTTCATATTTTTGTTGCGGTCACGGCGCGTTCACATTCGGCACAAGTGCACGCGAAACCGAGCGCGTTGCGTCATGCGCGAGGATAATACATCGCATTTTTCACAACAAACCGACAAACGATGTTTCGAATTCGAAACGAGTCGATACGAGACGCGATTTTGCATGAATCGATCCGAAACGTGATGGCCCGTAGTTTTTTCTTATTATAGTATTATTAAGATTTCACTTACATTTCATAAGTAAGATACTAGGTATTTTTGTATGACTGTAGTAGCTATAAATTGCAAAAGAGTGATGGATTAAATTAGGCAACTATATAAAGTCCTGAAACGCATTTAAGCTGTAATTTAAGGATCTACATGTGAGTCGATAAAATTCAATCAAGTTAAGCTTTTTAAGTTTGTTTCATCAGGGACATTTCAATGTCAATGAACCCTTCACTGAATGGTGAAAATGAAAAAATAACTAATAATACTGACCTTTTGGCTTATTGAAAGCTTTCATCATGACTTTGATTCCCATGCCTGCAATGGCAGCCGTCGCCTCTAGTAGTCCCGCGGGCTGTAGTCCAGTAGTCGCCCACAGGCCCAATATAAAATGTCTCTTGTCACTTTTTTACATCTATGTACAATTTACAATGTCTTTTCAATAACTTAATATAATAAGATCAATAAATATCACAATGTTTATTATCTTTTTGAACAGTCACTCAGTCTAAACACTCCTCACTGTTTTTCATTTTGGCGAGCTTTTTGTCACGTCACGGTAGAAACGTTCAGTTCCTTCGCATCACTGTTCATGGTTCGTTAGATTGTTTGCGGCACCTGCTGATTGAGAATACGGGTTAGCCCCAGGCTTGTCATCGGTGATCAAGTTGATAGTTTTTACTAATTAACTTAACCACTGTTCAGATTTAATTAAGTGTGGCTCATTAATTATACAAAATATGAACAGCGTCATAATTTAACAAGGTCAGCTTGATCATCGGGTAAAAAAAATGATTTTTTATCTTTGGATTTTGGATTTCACTCCCAATTTAGTCACTCACTTTATTTAGTCCACATACTGCTTAATTATGACACGAATACATAGTTGTGTTTTGTAGCAACATAGTAATAAGTAGGTACTTTCGACAGTAATTTCTTTTTTAGTAAGTTCATTGAGCATTGAGGTAGCAATAAAATGCATCATAAAAGTCAGCGATGCGGTTATTGCTCAACATGACAATGTGTGGTCAGTTTCAGCGTTATCAAAGTGTGTTGAACTAAATCTATATTCTAATATCATTGTGTCTGTCTGTTTCAGTTTTATTGGAGAATTTTATTGGTGTAAAATAGCATTGTCAAACGTATATTCCACTTGTAGCGTTCAGCTGTGTCATCAAGGTAAAATTTATTGTAAAATTTATTGTAGTGAAAAGAATTCAATTTTTATAATTCTTAAGTTTCATCGTTAACAATTTAAACAAGTGAACATCGCATTCTAGAACACTAAATTACAAGTCGAAAGCAAGGCTGCCAACGCAACGGGCGATATTCAAATAGTTCCCACAGGTGCGCCGATCGTGCGCTTCCGGTCCCACTCACCCCCGGCCCATTCCCACCCCGTCCACCCCCAGTTCCCACACGGCCCGCTGGCTCGTGACGACACATTTTGCTAACTTTTGTCATTAACTGGAGTGCACTTGTCTCGAGCGATCTTCGGTTATGGAATTTTGCAACGTTATAGAGCAGGATTTTACGATAATGTAATTGTAGCGTCCAACTTTACACGTAGCATTTAAGTTTTGAACCCAACAATTAAGTAAATTAATGTTCTTCACAACAGATTATTAAAGTTATTGTTTTCTGCCAGTCAAAACAAATAATGAAAAATAGTACGACGATATCTTGAAAACAGATCAAAAGCTACCTACATTAATGTAAATGAAAACGAATGCAAATACTGAGCGAATTCTTGTAGTAGTATTAAAAAAGTATGTACAAGGCTATGTTTAAATGAAGGCATAAAAATAACAATTCGCACCGTTACACGCCACCTGTTGAGTGCGTGAGCCCATGAGCCCTTATGTCTAAACACCTCCACCGCTTTGCGTGACCGCTCCTACATGTTGTCGCTTAAGTACACCGTTCATTTACCGTACTCACTAACTTAATTGCCCACACTAAATTAGCGGTCGCATTTGAATCTGTTATCAATTTTAAATTAAAACTGACACTAAATACCCCACATGTGGATACTCCGCATCTTATTAATGCTAATAATGTTTACACTCCCAATAAATGTGTTTACCGTTATGAATAAAACATTACGTTAATGCCATCACGAATTGATGAAATTGGTACATTATTTAGGGTGAAGGGGTTAAGTGCATAAGCTTCGTTTTTAATAACCGTTTTGTGGGTGAAGGGTCGAAATTGGTACAAGCATTTCATAGAAAACTTATTGAGTTGTATAACAACATTGTTAAGTTATCAGTGAGAGCTTTTTCTTTTTTTTACAGTTTCTCACGGTCATTAGTGACTTGGAATTTCAGCTTAAGCAATGCTAATCAATATTTAGTAAAAAAACCATTCATACGAATATTAATATTAATGGCTAGTTAACTCAAAGCTGAAATAATAATAGGACGTTAAATTGATGTTAGAATACAGAACTTTAAATAAAAAAAACTGTTCATAATTTCAAATTCATTCTTTAGAGGAAAAATACCACTGTCTTTTGTTTCTTATTGCGTAAAATACGAGCATAGTAATCTTACATGATCATCGTATTATTTTATCGACGGGCTACCGATGCTAGTTATGAATATGGATATTATCCCCAATCTAACTTACTTAGCGTGGATGGGGGCTACAAATTGGCGCCAATAAAATCCACATTTGGAATAGATGTATGACAAGATCATGCCAGATAAGCCGATACAAACGTGTTCTATTGATGTGTTATATTCATGCAAGATACTTATAATAAAACTTCAATTTGTAGATCTATCGATTCCGTCTGCATTCTATTTTTGGCAGACTCAACTTTCTTAATTGCTATCTGTTGTATTTGCAAATCTGTTATTTATGGGTTTTCGAAGACGAAGTAACTTACGTGTAAGCTAATTCTTTTATTTTTTTTTAATTTATGTATGTACTCTTTCTCAAACTTAGCGTTTTAGCCATTTGGATGTTTCCACACATCCACAAGAAAAGGTGACATTTTTACTTATATTAAAATATGTCTTCTCTATTGAGAATGTTACGGAGTCGCATGCATTACGGCCTATTGTATCATAAGTACCTAGTATTGAATAAGCCGTACAAGTCGACCAATATTGGCGGACAATAGCTGATACAGTCCATTCCGTACGATCGTGCACTATATTGTGTAGTAAAGAACAACAGTAGAATTTTGTAAGTTTTTTTTAATAGAAGGCAATATTTTTTCTAATCTTGAGGGCAACTTTATGAAGACTAGTAACTTGAAATGTCGCTAAGCTGATGTAGCTAAATCACTTACGATTTACCATTAAGATACTACTCTGAATTCAGTTTCAGCACCAACTCAAAGCAAAAAGACAACATCTGATTCTTAGAAGTCTTTGTATTGCAAATTAATACTAAATATTAAAGTTAATGTTTAAATTTTCAGAGGTAGGCTTAGTAAGCGCGTACCGACTCGCACCAAGTTTAACACCTTGTTTTGTAGCTACGGCGTACCTACCATACCTACTGTGAACATCGCGCGTAAGAGGGCAAAGAAGTCAATGAATACCTAAACCATGTTGCAGTGGTGACGTACATTACTTTTACGTAGGGACACAAAATCATTTTACAAAATTAAATGTTTAAAACATCATGTCGATTGATGACGTAAGTTCTCTCGTATGACTTTTAACAACATCTCAAAAGTCCGCGACTCTTGTTACTGGGTCAGATTTGGTGTGTAGTCTGCTTTTTTAAACGTTCTTATAACTAATAGATCTAAGCAACGTATTTTTGAAATATATTTTTTAAAAATTGTTATTAGTCATGTGTTTAAACAATTAAATACCATTTATTATTTTATAACATTTACGTAGCAGACATTCAACGGGTTTCAGCCAAGGAGAATAATAAAACATTTTCTTTGGTTTGTATTGTTGAAATAATATAGAATACACATCAAAACAGCTGACCCGCCGACTTTCAACATGTGGTCAAAAGTCATAGAAAGTAAAGAAACATGTTTTTTTTTTAAATAAAGCCGCTGACACCAAGCCGGTCTGTCAGCGGGCTTAGTGTGTAGAGTCCAGAAAAATTAAATTACAATCAAACAAAAAGTTAAGTAAATCAAAAGCCACTATTGAAAGATTGCTCAAATCAACCGTTAAACGGTCTATTGAGATCGATCTGTCACATAATCTGTGCGCCCATGGGTCAATAGTGGCGGGTGTCGGGTCGCAGGGTCAACTAACTCGATTCTCGCGCTCAATTTGTCTCCACAGACATCGCCCGTCTTGAATTATGTTGTCCTCTGATTCTATCCTGAGCTATGACATTTGATCTTATTGTTTTTTATTAGTCTGCAGCTAGACAGTCAATAACACTTGAAGAGGTAATAAGGACTGTTGAATATTGATGTTTTGAACTTTTATTTATTTGGTGTCGAAATTTTTTTGTGCTCCATTATAAGTTTTTTTTTATGTGACAGGATTTGTGGAGGAACACTATCGCCCGTATTGATATTCACACACGATGCTTGCTTAAGTGAAGCAGCAAATCGAACGCACAGCGTTGAATAGAGCTCTGTGATTGGTTCATATGTCACCCTGTGCGTCCACGCGCACTGTGAGACCTCATAGTAATAATTGTGAACACGGGCGTAGGTATATGTGTTCGCGATCAGTGAGGGACCGAGGAAGAAGAAGAATAAAAGTTTGAGAATATAATAATAATATGAGAAAGACATATACCTAAACTACCATTTCACTGGTATGCTTATTGAGACATCTTTATATTGCAATTACTTATTTTTTTAGCTGTCTAGAAAGCATTGGAATTTAATCGCACTATGAATCAACAGTTAATCAGAGACAATCTAAAAGTGGCCATAGACGCGTTAAAGTCGCTGGACCAATTAACGTAGTGCGACAGTAATTAAGCCCCCGGGCGGAATCTGGGCAAATACTAAAGCGTCGGGTGTCAATTGCGCTAGGGGCAAACTCTGTCTAATCTGTGGATCGGCCGCGACCCGGCGACCCCGCTGACACGAAACGGACACCCGCATACAACATGGGACCATAGACTAATCAATTTACTTTTAATATTCGTTGAGAGCTCTTCAAAATATGCTGGTCTGAAGATGTTTGTTTTAATGCGATAATTTAGGATGATTGGTAAATCACTTTTCGTTATTATTAAAACGTAAAACATTTGAACCTTTGTGAGATCAAAGAGAATGAAACCCGTTTTACGATTTCGCTACTTCCGGGGCGCGTTTTATGAAATTACTTTTAAACGCTTTAGCTTTTTATTGCAAAGTGATGAAGTGCACTAAGAACAGAATATGTAATTTCAGGAAAAGTCTCTTTCATATTCATTTATACTTTTATTTTAATCTGTGTCACATTATTATGACATCCATTACTTTGTCCTGCTAATTATCTACAAACATATTTTATGTGTTTGACCAAAAAACCCGAGTTCTACTCGTGAATCGATCGCGTAAGTTAGTTCTCGCAAGATTAACAGTTTGGTCAAATTTGTTTATCGCCCACGTTTCACGTCCGAAAACAATGTTTCCCGCAATGTGTTTTGTTTTCGCTAGCATTCGCGAGATACCGCCTCGGGCGCGT